GGGCACGCGCTCCGGCCCGGGTGCACGCGCGCGGGGCCGAGGTTCCGTCAGTGGAGCCGGAAGCCGGTCACGAGGGCTCCTTCTCTCAGCGGACACCACGCCTTCCGCCGTCGCGCGGGGGGAGAAGCGCCATGCTTCAGGACTCAAAGGCGTGTGGGGAGAAGCAGAGGTGGAAGCCGACGGGGTCGCGCCCAGAGTAGAAAACATAACTGAATGAATAAATGAATGAATGAATGAATGAATGAATGAATGAATGAATGAATGCAGTGCGGCCCAGAAAGACTTGTCACCCCCTACGCAGTCGCGCCCACATAATGAAACGTGTTTTTAAGTGTGAATGAAGAGCCCCACTACACACCAGTTTGCAGGGAGGACGGATTCACAGCACCACTGGCACCGTTGACTGTGTTGAAAACAAGAATTAAGAACGTCACGTTTTCCAAACGCCCACTCCCCCTCTTTGTTCATTTATTGCTTCAGGCGCCATCTTTGGTTGTGAGTCACCAGGAGTGGAAACATACTCGGTGCATCATTCCCTCCACGAGAATTAGAGGTCATTTTCTGCAGCTGCCCTCCCACACAACCTGTCGCGTCCATTGTGTGGCGACGGTGTTGCGTGCTCTCGTTTGGAGGCCAGCTTTCCCCTTACTGGTATCATCCTGCCTAACAAAACAAATCTCATGTGGTTTTCAAAATGCAATGAGGAGACAACGGGGAAAGTCACCCATCTAAAGCCTGCCAAGTGGAGCTGCTGGGTTTTCCACTCAAAAATCACAAAATTCCCCTTCTAAATCTCTTTTTTGATTTATGCTACCACCATCCCATCAAATCACCATCCCTTCAGGGTTTCAGCAAGATGCCCTTAGGGATTCTTAGATTAATATTATTATTTTAAACTAAACCTGTACTTGTGTTCCCACTGTATTGCCTGTCCATCCTTACCATTGCCTGAGGCAAGCAGCCAGTATGTCCTAATGGGTAACTGGCCTCATTCATGAATCCTGACTTCAGTTTTGACGACGAATTTTCTTTCACTCTGTCATGAGCCTAACCTTACTAATGTAGAGCTGATAATGCTACCACCCACTTTTTTTTCTTTTTCTTTGCTTTTTTTTTTTTTTTGGTTTTTTCAAGACAGGGTTTTTTCTGTGTAGCCCTCTTTTAAAAATTACTTCAAAGGAGAAACTCTAATCACTTTGCCATTGATACAGATGTTCCATCTCCCTGGGTTTTCTCTCTCATTTTCTTCTTTTCCCAATTTTAAAATTATGTACATCATGAAATAAGCAATATTGAATTACATATTGCATATAATTTTAGACAATATTGAATTATGAATACGACGCTAAACAATTTACACTCCTTGCAGCCCTGGTCCTTGATCATATTGTCCTCCTTTCCTTGAAAATCTTTCCTTGTAAACTACTCCCAAGTGATGGCCCTTCTGTGGATCTTAGTTACCTACTAAATAAAATATTCTGAGCATTGCAAACATGTCCACCTTACTAGACTGTGGGTGCTGGTTCTATATATTTTCATTGTTTTACTGTTTTCATGCACAGCATGTACTGACGTATCCAACAGTACTTAATCAGCATTTGTTGCAGGAATAACGAGCCCCTTCTAGAGCTGTGCATTGTGTCCTACTTACTTTTCATATTTCCACATAACTGGCATTCAAGTTCCCAGTTTCACAGTTATAATGCTGGTTGCTTATTCTTGGTCAGCTATTGTTTGGAGCACATGATTGGCTGGCATCCACACCAGTGACCGTTCTGATCTCCATCCTTTTGACAGCTTGCAGAGGTATATACATGATGAGTGTTCGCAGAGCTACAGTACGGCATGAGATAGTATTTCTAGCAGAAATGACATTTAAAACCTAATAACATGTACACTTGTTTGGGTTGCAAAAAAATCTGGGTAAAATGATCTTTGTATCTGCCTATCTATGGTTTTGCCTGTTGGAGACACCTAGGAGCAGTGGAATAGAGCAGTGGAATACTAGGAACAATGAACATGAGCACATGGTACCTACGAGATCTTGGTTTCCTGAGCACCATTCTTCTTTAAAAGATCTAGGTCCCCTTGGAGAAATGGTTGATCTTAGAATGGGAACAGATAATGTACAAAACGGAACTGAAAAATATTGTACCAGAAACGAAGGATGTTCTTACAGAATGATGAAACATACCAAAGATTGCCAGAAGTCATCTTGAAACGGTCAGTTGCGTACAGATGACTCAGTCTAAGCATCATTATAATCATATGTGACAATGCACTAACCAAGAATACTTAAGGCCATAAGTGAAATAACAGAATATTTCAAAAAATTTGAAATAGAGAGTTCTCCCTTATGAGTGGAGGTGGGTGGATCTCTGTGAGTTCAAGGTCAGTTTGGTCTGCAAGAGCTAGTTCCAGGACAGCTCCAAAGCTACAAAGAAATCCTGTCTCCAAACATCAAAAAAAAGAAAAAAAAAAAGGTTCTCCCTTACATTAAAATTCCAACCAAGAAATAGGGAAGGGTGGATATGTGCAAAAATATCACCATTTGGCAATCATTAGAATAATCATCCATTTAGGAAAAAATCCTCACTGTATGCTAAAACCAGAGGTTAAGAGTTTAAGAAGCTCTTAATTTTATTACTACATACATACTAAGTAACCTATTAAGTATACATTTGTAATAAAAGGGAAAAGGCACAAACTTGACACTGTAGAAATCTGCCAGCAGTGATCAAAATCAGTTACCAACCAGGCAAATATCAACATCAAAACCCACCTGGAAAGAGGCCCTATCTATCCTTTGTCTGCCTGTCTGACTATTATCTGTCTGTCTGTCTGTCTGTCATATATCTCTGTGATATGTTTACAAAAACAACCCCACAATCTAAATCATAGCATGAGGAATGATTGGACAATCCCAAATTTTTGAGGGACATTTAACAAAGCATAGACTTGTATTCTTCAGTTATCAAGTCCGTGAAAGGCAAAGTAAATCTGTTTTTTGTTTTTTTATCAGAGTAAAGTAGTTTAGCAATATTCACCTCTTAAATATGGTACTCTGTTGTACAAAAATATTTTTGTGGTTTTAGAAAATACACAATGGTGACGTATGTAAGGAAAATGAAACATTCACTTTCGCACTGTTTGTTTTTTTTTTTTTTTTTTTGAGACAGGCCCTCTCTCTTTGTAGCTCTGGCTGTCCCGGAGCTCTTTTTGTAGATAAGGTTGGCCTTGAACTCACAGATATCCTCCTGCCTCGGCTTCCCAAGGGCTGGGATTAAAGGGATCTGCCTCCACACTTGATCGTGTTTCTAAATCTTATCACAGAAGGTTAACCTCCACAAGCCCACTGCTGAAGTTGGCATTCAAATACTATCTATCATTGTGATCATAACATTTGACCATCACCAACTAACATCTCCTTTTTGTTTGGTGATGTAAAATGCATTTAACTCATTTATAAAAGTCCCCATAGTCTAGATTCACAACATTGTTCAAAAGTCCTATGTCTCGACATAGACAAACTTAATTTTGTAAAATAAAAACATTACCATTCACACACACACACACACACACACACACACACACACACTACAATATTTCTAAAAGATAAGGTACTGGGGTTTCTGGCTCAGGTACCTGGGTGGACAATGGCTACTTGTTTAACAACACAGACAGCCAGAGAGTACTGGTATAGAGACGTTTAATTTCAGTAGAGTATATCCAGCAGGCTGCAGAGTCTATGAAGCAATAAATACATTAATTAGCTCAGACTCATTATAGATAGAAAAATCTACAGTTTCAGTTCTTATCATAGAGAGCGAGGTTGGTGTCACTGTTGTCCTAAAAGGAGCTGTGGCCGTATAATAGTGATAAAATTGACCACCACTTATGAAAGAAAATGCTACATATGTACACACGCATGTGCATACTTTCCGGGATGAAATTGTTTAAGGGTTTTCAAAACGTTTGATGTGCAAGTGGTGAATTTTATTAAATGAAATGTGTTATCGACGTCTTAGTGACCTCTCTATTGCTGTGATAAAACACTATGATGAAAGCACCTTAGAGTGGAAAAGATTTATCTGGCTTACAATTCCATGCCACAGCCCATTGTGGGGAGCCAAGGCAGGAACTCCATGCAGGAGCAGTGACTGAACCAGAAGCCGTGCAGGAATGCTGCTTATTGGCTTAGTCCTCTAGTTTGCTCAGTATGTTTTCCAATACACCCTGGGAACATCTGCCTAGGAGTGGCACTATCCAGAGTGGGCTGAGACCCCCGACATTAATCAAGAAAATGCCATATAGACTGGTCTACAGGCCGGCCTGATGACATTTTATGTTAGCTAGCTAGCTTGTGTCAAGTTGACAGACAAGAAAACCATCTAGACAATTGATATACAAAAGTTTTAACCTGTGGTATAGGGTACCCAGCAACCAGACTCGTGTTCACTTTACTACTTGTATTCATGTACTAAAGTCGTCAGAATTAACTCATTTAAGTCACGCATCCTGGGTGACTTAAAGAATAGAAATTTGGTTTTTCACAGTCTAGGAAGTTAGAAGTTCAGGATGAACGTATCTGCAGGATTTCTCTCCTTGGCTCTAAGATGACTGTTTTTCCTTGTGTTTTCACGTGATCTGGTACCACTTTACCTGGCTGTGTCCCAGTATTCTCTAAGGGCTCAATCATACCGGTTTAAGACCCACCCTAATGACCTCAGTTATCTCTTCAGAGACCCTCTCTTTAAATATAGCCACATTGTAAAGCATTAGGTTCAGGACGTAAGTGAATGAATTTGGAAGAGGGTATAGTTCAGCCATAACAGTTAAGTGTTTGATTGAAACAAAAGTTCTATTGAGTGGTTGGTTTCTGCCTCAAGTGAAATGACTCTGTAAAGATAAGTATTATGTCATCAAATTTTTATTGTGGTCTAAGTATTAGATGCTCTTAATGGCCTGTGGATGTGTCAGTATTTATCTTAAATGTACAGAAGGGCAAAATTCGCTTTAAATTTGCTTTCAAGTATTGCATACTAAAATCAAAAAGTAAAGAAGACACTTCTAAATCTAAAATTTGCTACTTGCTCAAACTGACAATTTGCCGTACTTCTTCTTTGTATTTGCTATTTTCATAGCAAACATATAAAGTAAAAAAATACACATATTAAGAAGAATTTGAAATATAGGGAGTATAAGAAAAGAAAAAATAGTCAATGTCACTATTGAAAGAGAATCTTAATTAGCTTTTTTGACAAATTTGTTTCCTGTCTGTTTTCATGCATTTTAAATTTTAGTCATAGTGCATATAAAATGTGTATTTCTGCCCTCTTGAATGCATGTGACACTATAATTCCATTTTTATGTTATTCTGTAAGCCACATATAAAAATTCTCACTTTATGCTTAATATGCATTCAAGGTAAAAATTCAAATAATCTAGAGGTTTAGAATGTAAAATCTAAAAGGCAGTTGTAGGTTAGTCACATCTCATGGCCTGTCATTTTTTCTTCTGGTAGTTTTCCATGCACACACTATTACCCTACATTATGTCTGCGTGCTATCAATTTTGTTTTACCATGCTATTTTTGTCCTTCATTATATGTTATTATCTTAGGAGACTTTACGCCAGGAATTCAGTGTAGTTGCTTAATATGCTGTCATTCTATTACAACAAAGGAATATCATCTTAACTCTAGCAATAATGCCAGAAAATGATGTGGTGGGTTCTTTTTAAATAAGAGCCCTTTCTTACGAGACTCATTACTGTTTATTATTCCACCCTTTATATATTCTGCAGCTGTTTTGAATGCAGTCACCTCTTGTCTAACCAGTGATTGCGTATTTTCTTGCCTCTCCATCCAAGGCTCTTGGTGTCATGTGGTTATTTGCTTAACTTCTTGATGCTGTGTCCCTGAGATAAGTTATTAGATTATTTAGCAGCTAGGCACTTTCTTCCAGGTCTACAGTCCACAGCCTGCTGTCTCATCCATCCTGAACTTGAAGAGACTCGTAAATCCAACTGCACACTACAGGTCTCTATTCAAATGCCATATAGATAACTCAAGCTTAACTTTCCTAATCCTGACCTCTGTATTTTCTGCCTCCTTAGAACATACTTGAAGGAAATGTTTTCTATATCAATTAATAGCATCTACATTTTCATCTTTATTCAAGCCAAGCACCCATCACCTGGCATTTTTTTGATCTTTCTCTTTGTCCCAAATCTCCTACTCATATCCAACTGATCAGATCAGTATGTATTTGAATTCTAGTCCATGTAAGAAAGACTATGTTTACAATTTTGGAAGGGAGTTATTTTTTTCTTCTATCCAGTCATTGACTCTGACCAACATACCTCCCTGTTTCTCACTGCTGTTAGAGAAAGCCTGTTGAATGTTCATACAGACATCTTTGTTCCATCATAGCAAGGCCATGGAGCCTGTGCTTCAGACATGCATTATCTAGAACTTCATTTTTGCAATTAATAAACCCTCCCAGGGTGAGAAACTCTCAGTCTTTGTTTTCCACTCTGGTTTCTTCTCTTCTTTGTGTGAGTGTGTGTGTGTGTGTGTTTGTGTGTATGTGCATGTGTGTGCCTAAGAATTTCCCCTATCTTTTATTACAGCCAATGATACAATTCTTTCAGCATTCTGATTTTCAATTTCCCTTTCAGAATATCTCTTTGAGCAAAATTGAGTTATTCCTGTTTAATTCTGAATATTAATGATAATTGGTTTGTAGTAGTATTTTTCATTTATCTTTAGAAAATTACTTCTCGAAATAATTTTCTTTCTCAAATACGTTATTTGGGGTGTGATTCTGAGAAAACCATTTTTATGTATAGATACAGACTTGGCTGGGGTTCTCTGACCTTTCCACAGTCCATAACTCTCTGTAGATTTGTTGTCTACATATGAATACTACTGTATTTGGAAACATTTTGACTTATTGGAGTTTTTCATGGAACATAGAAACTTCTGCAAAGACTAAAAGAGTAAATCGTCATCATCATCATAATCAGCCATCGTCATCGTCATCGTCTTCATCATCTCACCACCACCTCCACCACCATCCATCCTTCCTCTTCATCCATGCTAGCTTGTGCTCACTCTAACGTTCGAAGGCAATGACCACTAGGGGGCAGCATAGCAACACATATCCATCTGTACCTTTACTTAAAATTGCTGTGAAGGGTGTATTGAGACTTCATTACAATTTCCTAGTCTCAGACTTGTTACTAAAATTCTTTCACTGACATTTAGTCTATGAGCCTGAATTAAACATTTTAATTTTATTTATTTTTATTTCTATTTTATGTGGAAGAATGTTGACTTGCATGGTGTATATATACCTTTTGTCTACCTGATTCCCCCAGAGGCCAGAAGAAGGTGTCAGATTCCCTGGAATTGAGTTATGGGTTATTGTGAGCTATCCTGTGTGTTCTCGGAACTAAACTCAGGTCCTCTTTGAGAGCAACAAGTGCTCTTCACCACTGAGCCGTCTCTTCTTTCTTTCTTCCTTCCTTTTTTTTTCTTTCTTTCACTCATTCATTTTGAGACAAGGTCGCAGTAAGCCCAGGCTGGCCTTGGTCTTGCTTATTGCTCAAAATGAACTTGGACTTGTAATCCTCTTGAATCCCAGTTATGAGGTAGTGCTGGAATGCGTGCAGATTCTAGAATCCTGCTTGAGTGTGTGACCTACGTACGTTACACTTATAAGCCTCACATCCTCATGAGTAAACAAACAGATATGAAAATTTAATTTTTTAGGGGATGAGTTATTGTGAGGATAAATGGTTCAATGCAGTTAGAGTGTTAAATTGTTATGACTGATATATTTGTGTATTTTATGATTTTATTACTATCTTTACACGTTAAATAATATGTTTATCTCTTAATTTTAATCAAATATATGTGTGTGTTTTTTCTTTCTTTTTTCTTCTTCCTTCCTTCCTTTCTTTCTTTCTTTCTTTCTTTCTTTCTTTCTCTCTTTCTTTCTTTCTCATTGACTTTTTTCAAGACAGGCTTTCTCTGTATAGCCCTGACTATCCTAGAACTCACTCTGTAGACCATGTTGTTCAGAATTTATCTTCTAAACATCTGATAAGTGTTTTATGGTGATGAAAAATTATTTATAACTTCTAATGGTTTTATTTAATCTCTAATGTTCAGTTTTGCAGGGTTTTAAAGACTCCATTTCAAACTATTATACCAGACGAAGTTCAGCCAGAAAACATTTACATAGGGAAAGTAATTGTGAACTTAATAAGTAAAAGATGTATTGGTGACTAAAAGGGACGCCGATGGTGTGCACGAGCAGTAACTGCAGAAAGTGGCACTCCTAGGAACAGTGCTTGAGTACGAAATACAGAAACTGGCGAAGAGGAAGCCTAGAGGGGGCCCTGTTGCCACAGAAACACGCAGGCTGCTGCTATGACAACCAAAGCTACCCTTGCATTCGAGATGAGAGAGAAATAACACCAGAAAGAAAGGTTCTTCTGCTCTATAGCGTATGACCCTCTTAATGAGATGGTGAATTCAATTTGCTAGTGTTTTGCATTCATCTTCTCTAGAGATATTAGCCTATAATTTTCTTTCCCTGCAATGTCATTGTTTGTCTTTGGTATCAAAGCAACCCTGCCCTTGTTCTTTCTGTGTTGGGGGAGGGAGCTAAAAAGATTGGCATGGGTACCAATGAGGTGATCTGCAACTAAGCTTTGCTTTGGGCAGATTGATTACTGTTCCAATATTCTTATTCACCATAGGCTTGTGCAATCTATTTTAAAAAATTCTTCATGATTCAGTTCTCTTTTAATATGTTTTTAGGAATGTATTAATTTGAGGTTGTTGAATTTGGAATGCTCACAGATTTCTTTTCTGTATTTCTACAGTTTTATTTACTTGGATATTTTAATATTAATATCTTTATATCTTAATCTAGCTAAAGGTTTACTAACTTTATGTTTCAAAAGACAAGTTAGTCTTAGTGGTCTTTCCCAGTGTTTATTTCATTTATTTTTGCTTTAATCTTCATTAGCTCTCTCCTTCTGATAATTTTAGACCACAATTTGCTCTTTTTATATTATATTGGTGCAAAGGGAATTGTATTTTTTAGACTATGAATTTTAAATAGTTATAAATAGGCTTCATCAAATCTTTCTTAATCAAAATAGGAACCATTACAATGCACATTTCTTTTTGGCAATGAGAAATAAGTGTATTCCTGTAGCATAAAAATCCAGGCCTTGGGATTTGATTTACTTTTGGAAAGAATATGCTGCATCCTGCTGGTCATGGAAGTGGTTTTTCCTGCAAAGAGCTGTTGAGGTGCTCAGAGCAGTACAAGTCTATTGAGGAGAGGTCAGTTGCCTACAGTGGAGAAGGCAAAGCTTGTAACACACTTACTTCAGTTTCTGAAGCACCTGAGTGTGCAACTTGAGGTGAGGCATCATTCCAGAGAAGAACCAGGCTTTTTATGGTGGCAGAGACCATCTGAACCTGTCGCAGGTTTCAGTATGTCTCATCAATTTGCTGAACACTCTGCCCAGCTGTGATGATGTCACCGGGACTCAGAAAGCTGAGGAGGATCAGAACATCAGCAGGTGATGACATGTTAAGCTGCCCATTGCTGGGATGAGTTTGACTTCAGAGCTTCTTTTAAACCCAACCATTAAACTGGTCATCAGTGGTGACTGTAAACAATCCAATCAAGAAATGACTTGTGTTGGAGCTAGAGAGATGGCTCAGCGGTCAAGAGAGCTCACTGTTCTTCAAGAGGACATAAGTTTGGTTTCTAGTACCCATGTTAGGTGGTTCACAACATCCTGGAACTTCAGTTCCAGAGTACTTGACACTCTCTTCTGACATCCCCGCACCAGCATAACACACACACACACACACACACCTAGAAAAAAACTTAATAAATAATAAATGGTTCACTGTTGTATGGAATAAGAGAGAACATTAGTTTACAACCAAAAATTTAAAAAAAAAATCTTGTTAGCTCATGAAACACCCACTTAATGAGCTTTTTCACCTTTCTGATTTGCTTCAAATGACAAAGGACCATCAAATGGTTCTTGTCTTACTTACTGTTCTATTTCTAGGAAGAGACTCTATGACTAAGGCAACTCATACAAGAAAGCACTGAGAACTTGCCTGATGTTTCAAGAGGTTGGTCCATTATTGTCATGGCAGAGAGTGTGGCAGCAGGCAACCATGGTGCTGAAGACGTCACTGAGAGCTTGCATTTGATCTTCGAGTTGCAGATCAAGAGAGAGACACTGGGCCTATCATGGGCTTTTGAAACTTCAAAGCACACCCACCTCACATCCTCCAAAAAGGCCACACCTCCTAATCCCTCCCACACAGTTCCACCAACTGGGTACCAAGCATTCAAACATAAAAGCCTCTGGGCACCATTCTCATTCAGATCACCACAGTCCATTCCCTTGCTACTGTAGGTTTGTAGCCTTTGTGGCTGCATCATAACAAAACTGCATTTAGTCCAATTTAAAGTCCCATAGTCTTTCTTAGTCTCAAAGATGCCTAAAAGTCCAAAGTTCAAAGTTTCTTCTGAAACTCGAGGCACTCTTCTAACTGCAGTTCCTGTAACATCAAAATACAAAAGCAGATTACATACTTCCTACATACAATGGCACAGAATATACGTTACTATTCCAAAATGGAGGAAATATGGCAGAGTAAGGAAACACTGGACCAAAGTAAAACTGAAAACTGGCAGAACAAACTTCAAATCCCACACCTCCATGTCTCATGTCGAATGACTTATTGATTGCTCTTCCCTTTCAACTTTGTTGCAGAGTGCAACACCTTTTTCTCTCTTGAGCTGGTTCCACACCATGTCTGCATCTCTTGTGGGTAAGTATTTGATGGCTCTGGTATCTGAGGGGCCCCTGGCAGTGGGACCAGTATCTAACCCTGGTGCATGCACTAGCTTGTTGGAGCCCATTCCCTGTAGTGGGATGCTATGCAGTTTTAATGCAGCAGGAAGGAACTGGGTCCTGACTCAATTTAATATGCCTGGCTTTGTTGACTCCTTATAGGATGCCTTACCCTTTGGGAGGAATGGATGGGAGTGAGCTGGGAGGCTTGTGAGTGGAGAGGGAGATGGGGTAGGAGGGAGAACTGAGGTTGGAATGTAGAGTGAAATCTTAAAAAATTAATAAAAGAAAAAAAGAAAATTTCTAGAAATTGTTTTTGGTTTAGTGCCATTTAAATGGTAGGAAACAAACATGAATTAGTAGTTTATTAACAAGAAAAGAATGAAATGAGAAATGAACATTAGAATGATCTATAAAATAGCCGTATTTATTTAAAAATATATTCCAGTGTCTGATGACCAGTTTCAACAATGCAAAAACCAAAATTACTTTTTACCAGTCTAATAGCTTCATAAAGCACAGAATTAACTTTTTTATTTGACATCTTTCTTTTTCCCACATAATTTATTGCTATAAATGCCTCTACTAATTTTTTTCTACTATGAGTTTTAGTATGTTGCATTTCTGCATTTGTCTTAATGTTTTCTTAAATGTTCTTTTTGTTTTTTTCTTGGTCCAAGGTTTGATCAGGGTTATTAGTAACCTAAATGTCCACTAACCAGTGGGCTATAGGAAGAAAATCTGGCATATACCATTAAGAAATTGTTCCTTTCCCTTGAAAAAGAAAATCTTCCCATTTTTGACAACATGAATTGATGTAGAAAATGTTGTGCTGAGAAAAATAACTCAGACACAGAAAGTCAAATCTGTATGATTCCACAGACTTATGAAGTGGGAGTGGACTAGTGATATCCAGGAGCTAAGAACAGAGAGAAGGTTATAGTTAAAGAATACAAAGTCTTGGGTACATAGGAAATCTACCACATTGCATGATGCCTAGAGACACAGTTTTATACTCTAGTCTTAAAATGTGTTGCCAAGTAATATCTCATGTCAAATGTTAGCCATAAAGATTGAAGGTGTAAAGGAGATGAACATTTTAGACTTTGATGGATATACAAGTGAGTACTTATTTCCAGATTAGTCAAATCATATCATGAAATACACTTCAATCATCCTTCAATCAAGTGGATTAAAATAAAAATAAAATATGACAAAATACTTCATCACTAATGACATTGCCAATTTTAGCCCCAGTGCTTTTTTTCCTTCTGAAGCCTACATAAAACCAACTGCCAATGACCAGATGTGGAGTGCAGTTGCAGCATCTCAAGCAGGAAAAAGAGGAGACAGCTTAGAATCAACAGGTAATAAATTATTAATTGCTATAACTATCCACATGCATTTTCAAAAACTTTTTTTATTTTATTGTGGTTTTCTTCTTTTCTTTGAATTATTTCAACTTTCCAGATTTTCTTTTTTTCCCCCTTTCTTTAAATCTCTCCTAGACACTCTTTAAAGTCTTAATCTTTAAAAAAAATATTGGGGGCTCCCTAGTTATTTGTTACTTGTTAAGAAATAAAGCAGTAAGAAATGGGGCAGGTTGACAGCTGAGATCTTCTGTGAGTCAACGCAGCTTTGGTGTCTGGAAACACATCCCCAGTCCTCACCAAATAGTGGAGTTTCTATGGTGAGCATTAAGTCAAAATCTTGCTTGTGTGGTAGATTCCTGGCTGGCGGTCATCTCATGGTTGGGGAGGTAAGTATTGGGAACAACCTTTTTGACTTCTACTTACATTTCAGCTTGTTCCTGTGGTAGTTTTAATGTAATTGGCTCCCATAAACTCATAGGAAGTGGCACTATTCAGAGGTATGGCTTTGTTGGAGTGGGTATGGCTTTGTTGAAGGAAGTGAGTCATTGTGGGGGTGGATTTTGAAGTTTTCCATGCTCAGGATATCACCGAGTGCTGCATGCAAGATGTAGGGCAGTTGTGAGATATTTGATTACACTGTGTAAAGATATGTCACTCTGATTGGTTTAACAGGAAGCTGGATGATCAATAGCTAGGCAGGATTTCCAGGCACAGAGAACAGTGGGAAGAAGAGACGTTAGGGATGCAGAGCAACCAGCATGGGCATTACAAATAAAGGTAACTGAGTCACGCAAAAGAAGTAGGTTAAAAGGAATGGGTTAATTTAAGTTATAAGACCTAGTTAGAAACAAGCCTAACCTAGCATTGAAATGTTGACAATTAATAAGTCTTAATGTGTTATTATTAAAGACGGTCCCGATGAAAAAGTCTGACTACTTAGTACTCTCAGCTACCTCTCCAGAACTATGTCTGCCTGTATGCTGCCATGCTCCCCACCATGACTATAATGGACTGAACTTCTGGAGCTGTAAGCAGGCCACCCTAATTAAATGCTTTCTTTGTAAGTTGCTGTGGTCATGATCTCTCTTCACAGCAATAGATATCTTTAACTAAGATGGTCCCCAAGTTTAACTCCACGTTCTACTTTCTCTTTTAATTGATGTTTTCTGTACTTTTATGTGTTTCTTCAAGGCCAGTTTTTGTTTTTTTCAGGTTCTTGACACTTTGTGTATTAGTTTCTTATGGCCACCCTAATAAATTCTTAACTCACAGAGTAGTTTAAAATAACAACACCACCACCAACAAAAAATTCTTTCATGAGCCTGGAGGCCAGAAGTTTAAAAAGAAAAATGAAGCCACCCCGTACAGAAGTTCAAGGGGAGGGTATGATCTCAGTCACACTGAGTTCTTGGTGACAGCTGACATTCCGTGGCTTATAGTTACATTAATTCCGTCTGTGCTTCTGTCTTCATAGGACCACATAACCTGGTGTCTGTGTAATTTAATGATGACTCTTCCCAATTCTAATAGAGATGCTTATCACTGTATTTAGAGTCTGCCAAGAAAAATTTAGGTTTATATTCAAACTTTCAGCTTTCATTATCTGTGTAAAGACTCTCTTCAAAAGGTATCATTAATGGGATACTTGGGGCAAGTCCTAGGCTTACCCGTGGACATCACCCTTCAGTTACCATGATCCTTACTTCTTCATAGCTAAGAAATGAGCTGGAGTGTGATGTCTAAGGGCTTGCTCTTTGATCTCATTATATGTTATTAATTTTACATATGGGTTTTCATGCTCTCTCAGTAATGTATAATGCTTGCTTGTGTGTGTATATTTGTGTTCATGTCCAGTATATGTATGTTAGTTTCCTTTATGGCCATTTACTGGGCTGATAGGAAACAGGATAAATATGTGTGGTCAGTCTAATGTCTTAGTTTGGCGTATATTCAAAAGAGTTTTTAGAAGGTGGTATCTGAATAAATCAAATTAAACTAAAATTTTAAAAGTGCAGGATAAGCCAGGTTATGTAAAAGCATTCAGCAAACACATTTTCAGTCCTTTTAATATTTTTTTCCTGCTTCAGCCATGATCCACTAAATATGCAAGCTCTTCATGTTTCCATGGTAACAATAAGCATTCAGCAGTTTATCTGACACCTCTCAGCGATGACAGGAATTGCATAATAGAAAGGAAATATCATTACCTTATGCAACACTAGTCATTATGACATTTTGGATATGTATCTTACCTTTTTAAAATTTCTGACTTCTTTTGCATGATTAACACTGAAAATTTCTGGCTATTGATAACAATAAATGGCATATATGCTGCCACCATGCTGCACTTATTGCTAGTCGGTCATATCATTTCTTCATAATAAGCCAGGCTGTTTATTCAGAATTATTCTCAATATAGTACTATTACTGGAGCCATCTCTGTTCCTAATTCCCTTCCATAGAGAGCTCATGACTTCAATATAGCCTAACACTGTAGGTCTATTGTAGGATTGTAATGTATCTCTTCTGCTCTGGCTAATGTAACATGACGGCCGGCTTGTTGGGGTTTCTGTCTCGCCTGGTACCCCACAGCTGGCCAGTTCCAAAGAAAATCACAGAGTCTACATTAGGTTATAAACTGACCCACTAGCTCACTCTTCTTATTAACTAATTCTTACATCTTACAATAACACATAATTCTTGTCTGTGTTAGCCATGTGGCTCAGTACCTTTTCCAGCGGGGCAGGTTACATCTTGCTTCTCTGTGGTCTGGGCAGGAATGGAAGAATGGGCTTCTTCCTTCCTAGTCTTCTCCTGTTCTCATTGCCCTGCCTCTACTTCCTATCTGGTTTACCTGCCTATACTTCCTGCCTGGCCAATCAGCATTTTATTAAAATACATGATTGACAGAATACAGATAATTCTCCTGCACCACTTCCCCTTCTTCTTTTTTTTTTTTTTTAGAAAAAAAAGGAAAATATCCATAGCCCATTTGTTGGGAATGTGGGCATAGTATTCCATGCTACTTCTGGCTGGTTGGGGGCACTGATAATCTTATGGGGACCTAAAGAAAATTTAGAGTTATAATCAAGACCCTGACTGGAGTATCCTCTGAATCTCAATCATCTTAGGCAGCATCTTGAATCTATTCTGAATGTATAACTCTGACATCTGGACCATCTGTTTCTACCAGAGTCTTCCTTGATCAAACTGGATTTTTCTTAACTCAGAATGAATCCACAGCCTCTCATTTTCTGTGGAAACAAAAGCAAAATTTCTTCTCCAAAGTAACATACCTTTTGACTTCAATTTTGAAGCCAAGGTATTTTCAAAATACCTATCTTGGGTTAGTTCAAGATTCAGCATTTATAAACAAAAGTCCTTTAGCAGCTGTTGTTCCTTCCTCAGCATTCAAACAATTCAAAGAGAGCATGATAGCATACAGTATCAAGATTCTCTGTGTATTTTCCATATTTATGGGGCTTTATTTCAACCTCTATTTCTTTTATTTTTACTTTTAACCTTTGGCTTTTTGAGACAGGTTCTCTGTATATATCTTTGTCCTGGAATAACTCTGTAGACCAGGCCGTCCTCGAACTCACAGAGATCCCTCTGTCTCTGCCTCCCCAGCGCTGGTCTCAAAGGTATATACTACCACACCTTGAAGTCACAGAGGTCAATCTACCTCTACCCCTTGAAGTCACAGAGGTCAATCTACCTCTGCCTCCCAGGCATTGGGATTAAAGGTGTGTACCACCCACTCAACCACTCTCTTTCTTCTTTACTTTAAGAACTTTAACTTTTAGCCTGCATATATTTTTAACAATTGTAAACCATTTAGAGGTTTTCTTCGTCTTTGAATCTCTCTTTACTGTATCTCTCTCTTTTTCTGACCACATGAATCTTTAATTTACCAATCAATATGGAGAGCCATGGCTTTGACCACTGGATACAGCCCATTCCTTAGCTTTCCAACCTCACAGCAGAGGTACCAGCTGTAGCCACGTTTATGTCCACAACTCCAAGGCGTTTCAAGGTCCTTGCCAACAAGCAAGCTGCAACAGTGTTAAACAACACTCAAAACCTCTGTAGTCAGGACCACTTGCTTGAAAGAGTCAGAGTTTGCCCTGGCAGAACGGCCCAGAAAGCCAACATTTTAAAACGGCACAACTTTTTTCCTGCTATGGTTGAAAACTGAAAAGCATGCTGTCAGCATTTCATGAACACTATTTAAGTGTTTCATGGCAGGACCTCTTAATGAGCTGCAGGGTTTTGCAGCTAAAGCTGAGTCAGGAAGCCTCTCTTAGATGAGAGCTAAGCAGAGCAGACCTGAGAAATTGCAGCTACCAAGAAAACATGCTTTACTCTATTATTTTCCAAGCTTTCTCAAGCTTTCTGTGGATTCAGTTATCCACGTGGGCACCATCTGTACCATGACGGCCGGCTTGTTGGGGTTTCTGTCCCGCCCGGCACCTCACAGAGTCTCCTCTCCAAGACAGATGCAGGTTAGGATCTTTCCCGGTAAGCCACCACCTTGTAGTGATACACAGATTACTAAATATAGGTTAAAGCAAGATATAAGAATTAGCCAGTAAGAGGCTGAAACTAGTGGGCCAGGCAGTGTTTGAATGAATACAGTTTCCGTGTAATTATTTCTGGTGTAAACTAGCCGGGGAGCTGGGATCCCTGTGGGAACACAGCCCTCCGCTCCTTTTGCAACAGGCTAAGATGTTAGAGAGGCCAGCACAGTGTCTTCTGTCCCATGAGCATGTAATCTGTCCTCTTCTCCATGTAAGAACACACCAACAGGCTGCCGTCATTGAAGCAGAGGCTAGCCTCCCAGCAGACACAGAATTCTTACGGACCTTCATTTTAGGACCTGTCAAGCTGCCACTGTGGACTAGGAACTGAAGAGAGTCTCTGGTACAACTCCAGGCCAAAGACTGGCTGGCCCAGCAACCAAGGTTTCGATTAGAATCCAAAGGCATGGAAAAACCCAATCACAGGTCCAATGGCGTGAGATGGGAGGAATTTTTTGTCTTTAGTTCTGTACTGGCTGGTTTTTGTTAAGCTTGGTGCAGATCTAGAAATATCCGGGGAGAGGCAATCTTAATTGACAATAGGTGCCCCCTGAAAATTACCCCGTAGGCAAATCTGTAGGGACTTTTCATTGTTAATCAGTGATTTGTCCAGTTCACTGTGGGTGGTGCCACTCCCAGACAAGCGATCCTGAATGATGTAAGAAGGCAGATGGAGCAAGCCATGGGGGAGCAAGCTAATAACCAGCGTTCTTCCATGACCTCTGCACCAGTTCCTGGCTCCCGGCTCGAATACTCAAGTACTCGAATACTCAAACCTTGGCTTCTCTGATGATAGACTATTTCTGTGAGTCAGATAAACCCTCTCCTTCCCAAGTTGCTTTGGTCATTATGTTATCACAGAACTATGACAAAGTCTTTGAATGAATTCTTAAGACACACCAATGCTAGCAAGATCAATCTATTTGATGTGCTCTATATTTTCCAAAGTTTAACTCATCAAAACTACTGTAACAGAAACAACCAGCATAATGTTAGACCAAATATCTGGACCCACATTGCTCAGTTGAACACCCATTCATTTTTGGGTTTTTTTTTACTTTTTAAAATAAGACCCAATAAAATATTAAATTTCCCCCTTTTAATGGAATGAAGAAATAGAAACTTTTTTGATCCCTCTTCTGTCTATGGTTGGTACGACATTGCAGGTGATATAAAATGCGTGATGATATGAAAAGAATGAAGTGCAAACAATTAGAAAAGGATGTCATTGCCAAATTTTTGTCAGCCTGTGTCAATGCTTGATGTTTGCTGAGGCCCCATTGAAATGCTAGGTATATGCTAGCTGAGTACATAGTATGCTTACATTGGGGGATGAAATTCATTTGAAAGAGCTATATTCTATTATAAAAGTGAATGAAGAGTATTAATGTAGTTTTATGTTTATTTTAGCTTATTTCAGGGTTTAAAAATGCCTAACTTTCAGCTCCTACTTGGTCATGACTAATAGCAAATGCTACAAGATGTAAACCTATAGCTACAGTGTTACCCAGATGGTACCCAAGCTTGGCAAGATGATGGGAGCTCCACTTCTATAAACAGAGTCTGGGATCATCTGCTACCCTAGGCCTGCTATTGAGTGAGCTCTGTATAAGCATCCACTGGCCACCAATATTAAACCTGTGTTCTGTTACTGATCCTCACCCGACAGTGTAGCTAGACTATTGTCTCTGTTTCGGTGTGCACATTATTCTCTGCTGGAAGTGGATTCCAGCCTTGAATCCCAGCCAAATTGTCTGGGTCTGAGAAGCCAACTAGTCTTGCCAACATCTCCTCTCCAGGGAACTTGGATCTTATCCCAATGTTCTTCCCTCTGCAGCCCACTGATGAAGATCTTATTACAGGCCAGACAACTCTTCCCAACCCAAGCATAAAACTATCATCATCAGATACTAGCCAGTTTCTGGTACTTTACCCCCTCCTCCTGGCTTATTTGAGATGATGACCACCAATCTTAGCCTGGCTTGGGCTTGAGTTCATGTGTGATGTCTCAGATATGAAATTTGGGGAGTTCTATAGCCATATCCACAAGGCTGACCCTGCCCCCACAGTTGGCTTGTTTCCCTCCTACAGAACCACAGCCAGAGTCCTCTCCTGGTTCTCCTGCCAACACCAGTCAGATCACAGTACTAAAGAGTAAGAATTTCCAGTAGTCTGTACAATCTGCTTTTCTGAACAAGTCTTTAGATTATGATGCATCTTATTAATGCTTATAAGTAACATTTGATCCTTTCTGTAGAATATTAGGCCCCCTACAAAACTGTCATTTTCAAAAATGTCCTTTGATTCAAATATTACATCCAATGTTTTTGCTTTTTGCAAGCAATATGGTCCTAATTCAACATATCCAGCAGAGCTCAGATCAGTGGTTCTTCTAACTTCAACAGTATTAAGCTTCTGCTATGTACATGGCACTAGACCAGATGCTGTTATAATGATTTTTCATTTCCAGAAAAAAATAAATTCAAACATGGAATAAAAAGTCTAAACTCATGAAACTGGACTTACTTTGTGTTTTAGAAATTCAACATGCCATAGCTGTGTGCTTCAACCGGGTTCAAAGAGGATGATAAAATAAGGCATCATCATGGTTGGGAATTTGTTACTGTTTGAATAAATAGCCAAGTGAAAAATGCTTTTAAAAACCATAGCATATGTACTTGCAGGGTGTAATGAAGTTACACATTTCCCCACTATTCTGTGACATGGCCAGTTCAGAGTACCTTCCCACTAATCTTGACGCTCTTTAAGGTGCCAGCTTTACAGCTCCTTCCCTTTGAATGTGTCTGTGAATTTTATTTGTAATAAAAAAGAAACACATAATATTTTATTACTTTTGGATGTGACATTTCTATTGAATGATACATGATTAAATCAACATATATGTGTATACATACAGATATACAAATACATTATTGAATGTATTTAGGTTTTCTAATATTCTTACCATAGAAAATAGAGTTTTATGTGTGTGTGAATAGGACAAGAACAAAACCATCTGAGCCCCTATTGACTTCTTCCTGAAGTCTTCCGGCATTGAATTTTAATTATACTCTTGAACAATTCAGAATTATTGCCTTTTGTTTTTCAGATATGCAGGACAGAAAACAGACTATGTGGATGTATTAGATAATCTTTTAAAATAATTTTGCAAGTTTATACAATAATGTTTGATTTAGAAATACCAGCATTTAGATTTTATGCTCCAAGCATCACATCTATGAATGGAAAAAGCCACATGGCTACAACTGTCCAGGAAGACATCTTGTTCGATTGTGTCAGATTATATTGACACAATCCCAATATATTTATTTCATACGTGTTTTGCTCTCCAAGTCTTTCTGACCCTGACATTATAAAGACCATACTTAGTAAGTTAAAAGATGACTTGTAAAATGAGGTTTTTTTCCCCCCTCGAATAGTGCCTAAAGTAAGTGAGAGGTAAGCAGTATTGTATGATAAACATTTCTTCAGATGAGAGATCTGACTCTTATGACTACTTTTCCATAGAATCTTAGTACGGTTATAGTTTCAAAGACGATTTTCCATTTTTAGTGAAAGTATAGTTTAGTAGAGAGAATTATGCTAATATAATTATGCTAAAATATTGCAAATAGTAATTCAGTAGTCTGTGTCTCTCCAGCTATCTCTGTCTCTGTCTCTGTCTGCCCCCACCCTAGTTTCACACATGCCAGGAAAGCACTCTGCCACTGAATTTGTACCCCAACCTTCTTTTTGCTTTTACTTGAGACAGGGTCTCACCAAATGGCCTACTACAGTCTTGAATTCACTCTGGGGCCTGGCAGGACTGCAAGGTGGATTCTCTTTCCTTAGATTCTCCAGTAGTTGGGATGACAGATCTTCATCACTTGAACCACTGAGGATGTTTCCAGTGATTGAGGTATAGATCATGAAGTTCAGATGTCAGCTACTACTTATCTAGTCAAGTTAATTATTTAATAGTAGTGGTTGTAATTATCAGAAGGAATGTGAGAAAACTATATTTTCAAATGTATATAAAAAGAGGAATAACAGTGAATTGAGCCAAGGAACCCTTTCATCGGGACATAACAATAGGCCTTTAGTGATTCTTTACTGTGTTGCTCGATTCTTTGCTAAGGTCTTTGTGGGCTTTATCTAATTTAATCTAATTTACTATGTAAAAATAACCTTGAAAGATAGATACTTGGCTATCTGCTCAATTGTACCACAAGGACATGTGCTCAACTAAGCTCATAGTAGCATTATTTGTAATAGCCAGAACCAAGAAACAGCCTAGATGCCCTTCAATCAAAGGATGAATAAAGAAAATACGGTGTATTTACACAATGGAGTACTACACAGTGGTACAAAATAATGACACCTTGAAATTTGCAGGCAAATGGATGGATCTAGAAAAAAACATATTGAGTGAGGTAAACCAGATCCAGAAAGACAAATATAGTATGTATTCACTCATAAGTGGCTTTTAGACTATAGGCCACAACCCCAGAGAAACTAGACAACAAAGAGGACCTAAGAGAGACATACATGGATCTAAATAGGAAGGAGAAAAAGACAAGACTTCCTGAGTAAACTGGGAGCATGGGGATCATGGGAGAGGATAGAAGGGGAAAAGGGAGGAACGGAGGGGAGAGGAGAAAAATGTGTAGCTCAATAAAAACAATAAAATGAATGAATGAATAAATGAGAGAGAGAGAGAGAGAGAGAGAGAGAGAGAGAGAGAGAGAGAGAGAGAGATACTTAGGATGGCCAGATGGGTCATCAGGTAAAGGCTTTTAGTGTCAAATGCGATCACTGATTTCAGTCTTTGGAACCCACATGGTAGAAAGAGAGAATTGACTGTCCCAAGTTGTCCTTTGATTTCTACATACATACCATGGCGCACACCCCCTCCGCCCCCTCCACACACATACACATGTGTGTACACCCGAACAAAATAAATTAAAATGTATTGAAATATATTTTTTAATTAGCTTTGCTTTAATGCTGCTGGTGCTCTGAGGAAAGGTAAGTGTTCCTATGAACAAACCAGAATCTTCACCATTTCCTTTGACCCATTAGCATTTTATCATTAATTAAGTTCGTTCTCTGACAGTTCACACTCACACACACACACACACACACACACACACACACACACACTGCACTCTGTTCCATCTTTCTTCATCCTTTCTCAGTGTTATCCTCTCCCTTCTAAATCTCTTCCTTCCTTCCTTTATTCCTTCCTTCCTTCCTTCCTACTTCCTTTGTTGAACGGAGGCCGTTTGTTGGTTCCCAGCTGCTCAGACCAAAAATAATCACACAGAAACTATGTTATTTAAAACACTGCTTGACCCATTAGCTCTAGCTTCATATTGACTAACCCTTACATCTTCATTTAACCCATTTCTATTAATCTGTGTATCGCCATGTGGCTGTGGCTTTCTGGGTAAAGTTCCGATGTCTGTCTCCTGTGGGGCTACATGGCTTCTTTCTAACTCTGCCTTCTTCTTCCCAGCATTCAGTTTAGTTTTCCCTGCCTACCTCTATTCCCTGCAAAGGCCCAAGACAGTGTCTTTATTAACCAATGGTATTTACAGCATACAGAGGGAAATCCATTCTTCCTTCCTTTGTTCCTTTATTCCTTCATTCATTCGTTCTTTTGTTCCTTCCTTCCTTCCCTGCCTTCTTCCTTCCCTCCCTCCCTCCTTCCTTTCTTCCTTCCTTTTTTCTTCCCTCCTTTCTTTCTTCTTCCTTCCTTCTTTTCCTCCTTCCCCTCTCTCTGGTTCATGACTTCCACATTTATTCTGTGACCAGTTTCACTGAACCAGTATGATCTTTGTGATCACTGAATTGGACTATCCATTGAAGCCTTGGGGCAGTCACTAGTGGTCATACAATCAAGGCTATACCTCACTGGGCAACAGATTATTCTGGTAGCACAGTCACTACTCCAGTAGTATTTTGGTCGCAACTCTTTTATAAGAGTATCTCTTGTCTTGCAAACTTGTTGAAAGAAAAATTATCTCTTTTTAGACTTGTCTTGGACATGGTAGGAGGGTACATTTATTGAATGTTTACACTTTGCTAAAAATTGATAAAAGTAACACTATGATATAGGAATATATGAAAACATTTTAAAGGATTAAATAAGGATACCTTGCGATTAAATTACCTCATTGTTGCTTAATGTGTTTAGAGGTCTAATATATTAGATGCCATTTTTGTTTTTACTACCAGTTTTAGTCAGGCTAAGTAATCTGCCATTCTGACATAAACAAAATGATTCATCAATCCTTTGGAATGGTTTTACTGTCCTTGAGTGAAAACATTCATTTAACAAGTATTTACTGAACATTTACTAATTGCCAAGTGTTACTGCAGCCACTGAAGACAGAGGTGAAGATAGGAAAAACAAACGAAAGCCCTTTCTCTTACCATGATGGTAAATTCTAGTGCAAACAAGAAGTAGAGGCAAGGCAGAAAATAAAACTTAGAAGAAAGATCACAATTATAAGAGTGTCTCTGCTTTGGTGTGAGAAGTTGGGAAAAGCTCCACCATAAGGTAGAAGGTTCGCGGAGATCTGAGAGTGGGAGAGACATGAACTTGGTCAGCTTAAAGAGGAGGAAAAGTGATGGTTTAGTTGGAGCACAGTGAAACAGCACATTTTTTAGCCATGTGAAACAAAGGCAGGAACCGCCTGAGCCCCTTCATTCCAGACTTGCTAGATAAGCGTGGGATAAATAATTCCTAGGAAAATGTTCGTGTGCTTGAGTTTGACACCACGGGGCCTTTCAAAAAAGTTTTTAGGATAGTTTCAAAACCTCCTACTCTGGTCATTTAAGTGACTACTTGGAATATACATTCTTCTGGGACATTTTTCTGTCTTATTCTTATTTGAGAGAGATGTGGGTGATTGAATCCATGGTACCGCCTTTGCTATGCATCACTCTACCATGGAGATATAACTCAACCTTTTCCCCATGTTCATTTGAGACAGGGTCTTATGAAGTTGCACAGGCTGGTCTGAGGATCACTCTGTAACCAAGAAAAGTCTTGAAGTTGCAATACTCCCTCTCCAGTCTTCAAAATAATGGGATTACAGGCCTGTTCTTTTATACTGCCCAGCTCTCTATTTCATTTTTGTGTTTCCGAGTCATCTTGTTATATCTTCTGCCACACCAGATATTTCATCTGTACCCTTAGACACCCAACAACACGCTGTGTATATTTGAGGACTATCAACCTCCTTTCTAATCATGACCAATGACTGGCTTTCTTAGGGAGACAATTCTAGGTTACTGTATTTTTTCCAGCCAAAACTTATACCCCTGGGCCACACTCTTGACTGACCTTCTTTGATTTCTCCTCCATATCTGGCAATCTGGATGCACTCAATTTTGTTGCCCTTTACAACCAATGCTTCATCAGACTTCCAGCTCTTCCCCTATTTATCATTGGTTTCCTGCTGAGCAATGTATCTCATCTTTATCTAATGTATCTCCTGAACTCATTCTATCAGTTTTTAAACTACTTTAGCATCCTTTCCTAGTCTAGGCTCCATGACTTATTGTTGGAGTCACTGTTTAGCAACAGCATCCACAAGTCTCTTACATCCCTGAACTTCCCCATACAGACAACTGTAGCATGAGGGCCAGCTTGTTGGGGTTTCCGTCCCGCCCGGTACCCCAACAGCCGGCAAATCCCAAAGAGAAATTACACACAGGACTCCATAAGGTTATAAACTGATTGGCGCATTAGGTCAGGCTTCTTGTTAACTCTTATAACTTATGTTACCCCATTATCCTTATCTATGTTAGCCACATGGGCTCAGTACCTTTCTCAGTGTGACAGCTTACATTTTGCCTCTTCGGTGGTCTGCCCAGGAATAGCAGAGGAACCTCCCTGCTTCCCAGAATTCTCCTGTTCTCATTGCATCACCTCTATTTCCTGTCTGGTTTTCCCACCTATACTGCCTGCCTGGCCAATCAGCGTTTTATTAAAATATGATTGACAGAATACAGACAATTCTCCCGCACCAGACAACTACTGATGACTGGTATCTGCTTGCTGAGGGTCTAATAAATGCCTCCTGGTTCTGTTCTTTCGAACAGCTAAGTAACTCTTGACACTGTTTTCAAGAACCTCTCAAAATTTCTTTTATCATCCCTGTATTAGTCTATTTTTCATTACTGTAGTGAAATATTGGAGTTTTCTATTCCAGGCCCAGTTTCTTCTCTCTGGATGTGAGCTCTCAGCTGCTGCTCCATGACCATGCCTGCCTGCTTGCCTCCTGCCTGCTGCCACATGACCTGCTATGATGGTCATGGACTAATTCTCTGTAACTGTAAGGAAGCCCCAGGCAAATGCTTTCTAAGTTGCCTTGGTCATGGTGTCTCTTCACAGCAGTAAAACAGTAACGAGTAGAGCAGTAACGAAGACAACAAGCTTTTGGATGAATTTTGATGTAACAAGAGGATTCCTTACAGCATTTTGCAAATGCTAAAGACTGGATAGCCATCTGTGCCACGTGGTGCTACTAACATCTGAAAGCTTGATACTTACACAGCTGAAAAGAAACAACATTAGCAGCATACATCTTAACTTGCACATCAGAGATACGCCATCCTAAAGGATAAAGAACCCATGTGAAACACTTTCCAATTGAGTCTTTTCAGCATAGTTTTGCAGTAGCAGAGTTGAAGACAGCAAACTCTTTATTTATTACTAACAATAAAGTAGAAGTAGCTATATAAATTGCATTGATTTCTGTCCCCTTATTTATTATGACTATTATAGATTAATTGAAAAATAACTTAAAGTTCAAAGATTTTGCATTGAAATATTTCACTGCAACATTTAAACATTCGAAAGCAAATCACTTACTTTGAGGTTATTTGTATTTTCAAAGTTGTATATTAAGATTTTTCCCCTTGGTTCCCCAGCTATACTTCCTTATCAATATACTTATTAATTCAAGAACTATAGATTGAAGTTCTAGCAGCAGAGAAAATTGACAAAATTCTTACTTTCAAAGAACTTATTTGTGAGAGAGAAGGGATATAAATAAAATGATGTTGTAAATACGCCAAAAATGAAAAGACAGAGTACAAATGAAGCAGAAAAGGAGGCAAAATGTGGACAGATATTTAAATATTTCAGTGCCATTCTACTCAAATTCTTAAATTAATAAAACATACAGTTTCTGGGAAGGTTATTATCTACAACTCCAATTTCTATGCATATTCCTTGTTCCTGCTCCCGAGAATCACCCCTGTGAACTGCAGAACTCAAATGTGCCTGTTCACCTTTCCCTTTTCTATTCCCCCTTGCCCTTGGGGTGTAGACAACTGAGGTCATGACATGGTCAAAGAAAAGTGTGGTGTAGTGGTGCTTTCTTGCCGTCCCAAACATCACAACAGTTTTAGTAACGGTTGTATTCCTCAACAATTAGAACTCATCACTGGTAATCCCGTTCTTAACAGTACTTGCTATTAACAGCATTTTTGCTCTTCACTTAAGATTAAATGGATTGGTAGTGGTGTCTTCCTTTTGCTGGACTCTGTACTTTGCCTGCCCTGCTGGTATGAACTACTTCGAATAAAATATTGGGAGCTTGATGTTGTTGTTTTGTTTTCTGAGTATGTCATCTCTTAGCTCTGACCCAGACAATTTTGAAACTATTTCAAAAGAGATCTATCACAGAGTATTTGCTTTAATAAAGCCATTTTAAAGTTTTTATATGAAGATACTTACTGAAGCATCATGGTTAATAGCAAACTGAAAACAGCTTGTATACAAGTGCTGCTACATCAACACAATAAAATATTTTTCATCTCCAAAGTAAGACTTAGGAAAACTATAGAAACCACAGAAATAGAAGTAATATTTTCAAATGAGATGCAACTTCATTGTAACCATGTACAATTATGACCATATTTGAATGAGGATTAGAGAATAATAAGCAAATATGGAGATAATTGTGTTTGAGTGTAGATTACCTGATATTTTTTTAATTTTAGAAATTCATGTAATTAAGTTTTAAATTGTTTTAAGTGTTTCACAATATTCAGGATTATAACATTTTAAGTAGTATACCTAATATAAATCAAGATAAATGCTCCAAGCAAGGGAGAAAAAAAATTGCTAAATATTAATGTTCCTCTTCTTACATACCTAATTGCAAACCCAGGCACTAATGATTAATACACCTGGCTTTAATGGTTGAACTCTAAGCCTTGTATATTGGAAATTATTATTTTATGTATAATCTTTGTTTATAACCAAAGCATAATCTCTTAAAATTAGCTTTAAAGAAAAACATATTAGCATGTATACACAGTCATGCATGCTAGATGACTTAGTTCTTAGCTCTGCAATGAGCTCCAGTAGCATTTAATTTTATGTGCCTGTTTCTCAAAATATCCAGGTTTCCTATTTCAGTCCAATATAGACAGAGTCATAAAGCTGATCACATGCTAGCTTTCAAGGAGTTAGAAACAAAGAGAAACAAATCGTTTAGCAGAACCTTGCACTTATTTCAGATTTCTTAGCAGATAAAATGTAAATGCATCTGGTTATTAAGACAGTGATTTTGTGAAGGACATGCTCATTCTACAGAGTTCTGAAAATGATGTTCCTTAGCACACGGAAAACAACAACATTCACTAAGACACGATGACATGAATCCAAACCACTGTGCCCAAATTACTACCCAGCCTAGATTTAGTTGCTGGCTATATTCTCTTTATCCAGTTGCAAAGTACTTCACTTCATTGGCAATTCTATGTATGTAGAGACATTCCCAAGCTGCGGTGGGATTTTGGCTCTTAGCATACCCGCCATTGCTTTCCCTCCCACATGACAAAGAAAACCCATCTTACCGTCTGTTCTAGAAGCGTTTATTATGGACTGCTAACAAATTACCCCACAAGAGGTCACCAAAGCTCTAGTGTTTTGTGTGTGGTTTTCTGAATTTCCCCCTTCAACCGGCATAGACAAGATTATACATTTCCTGGTTCTTGTTCTTCTTTTGCTTTTGTGAGAAAGGGTCTTATTTTGTAGCCTGAACTGGCTTCAAACTCAAAGAAGTCCCGTTGTCCCACTCTCCCAAGGGCTGAGATAGTAGGCAGGGGCCACCACATCCAACTCTAGTTCTCGGACTTTCTACCTTGGTTAAGCAACTGAGAGTCATTGTTTACTGTAGCTCTCTAGGTCAAGTCTATAACGTGGGTTTCAGAGCACTTTTCATTCCAACTCGTTTTTAATTTACTGTTTTAAACCTTTCTTTTTTGAGATTATACAGTAATTACATTTCACCCTTCCCCTCTTTCCTTGCAAACCCTCCCATATATCTGTCCCTTGCTGCTCACCTTCAAATTCATAGTCTCGTTGTTCACTAATTGTGTACAAATATGTGTATATGTACATGTACTCCTAAATATAAGCCCAACCCGTACAATGTTATTTGTATGTATGTTTCCAAGACTGGCCATTTGGTACCAGTTGCTTGCTCTTCCCTGAGAGAAGACCACCTCTTCTGCTCCCCACTTTCCTCAGTTGCCTAGAGCTCTTTGTAAAAGCTTGAGGTCTTATGTGCTTTTCCCCATCAACTTTGGCAGGTCCACTGGTGTCATCCTTGTTCAGTTCGCGTTTGGGAAGTCATGCTGGTGAGACTTCATGGGTCTCATGAAGTCTAGTAGCTTGTGATATTACTAGGAGACACAAACTCATAGCAAACTCCTTAATCCTCTGGCTCTTACAATCATACACTCCCCTTTCCACAGTGAGTGTTTTCTAAGCCTTAGGTGTGGGAGTGTTTTGAAGATTTTTCCATTGCTACTGAGCTCCATAACTCTGTATTTTAATTAGTTGTGCTTTTCTGTATGTATAAGCACAAATGTTCATAAGTTGTTGTTAGGGATGATGATTGAAAAGTTTTTGCCCCCTGACAAGCCTCTCCGCGGACACAGCAATCCAAATCAGACCAAATCAAAACAAATTAGCCACCAGCCCAGGCCAGAACTGAGTTGGAATTCAGCTCTTCGAATTAGAACCCAAACTTACCACCTGAGTTAGGAAGAAAAATTAGCGCTACCAGCTCCAATTCGCCCCAGCTTAGCTTCCATGTAAAGAGGGAAAATACACAGAGAATCTGGATACTGTATGTTATTGTGTTGTCTTTGAATTGTTTGACTGCTGAGGAAGAAGCAACAGCTGCAAAAAATCCTACATGTCAGGCAGTTATAGAAAGATCAAATAGAACTATAAAAGATATGTTAAATAAACATAAACAGATAAAAAATATCCCCAGAAATGGAATGCATAATACTTTATTAGCTTTGAATTTTCCAAATGCTAATGAGAAAGGAACAACAGCTGCAGAGAGACATTGGATAGTAGGAAAAAAAATGGGATTAAATCAGCCAATATACTTTAAAGATGTATGACCTCAGAATGGAAACCAGGGCATGGTTATGTTGGGTAAGGGGTTTTGTTTTAGGTTAAGAAAATGGGGATTCATTTTGGGTTGAGAAAAAGAAGGTTTGATCAAGGAGGACCCCTTTTTGGAGCCCCTCTGTTGAGTGTCCTCTGAGTTCTACTCCCAGAACAGTTTCAAGACTGCTGGCTAAGATGACCCGGCCTCAGATAACACTCTAGTCAGGACTTGACCAGAATCCGAAATTTTCTTTGCGTGCCCATAAGATTATCAGTGCCCCCAATCAGCAGGAAGTAGCCTAGAAACCTATGAACACATTTCCCAGGAATGCATTATGGAGATTATGTTTATCTTTGTTTAGAGTGTTGGTTACAAGTTGTTATGAATAATGGTCAGAAAAAAAAGCTAAACAAAGGAAATTAGATTTAAGGTTCTTGTTTTAAGAAGATATGATAGGATAGAAGGGTAGGTTATTGATCTACTCTGAAAAGAAAAAGGGAGGATATAGATGTGATAAGATAAAAAGGTAGATTATTGAATCTACTTTTAAAAAGCAGCTACTAGTTTTAAATGTTTTACATTGGATTGAACTTTTGTGTATTGTATACAAATTTTGTATATCAATATAAATTTGAGAATAATTTTGTTAAAACATACTGTACATATATTTCTAATCTTGTTCAAGGTATTGCACCTATACAGCTATATTACATATATAGCTGTATATAATATATATGTATTATATATATTATGCTGTATATATTGCATTTATGCAATGTAATGCAGACCTCTAGTCCTTGAAAATTATTACTAACTGTTTAGGGTAATAAGGAAATATACATTAGCAATTAGTCACCTAATGTAATTAAACTTGTGGTCACATTAGGTATGTTTTCAAGGTCAAACAAAGATGTATTTTAGATAGACAGGTAATCTTCAAACAGTTTAGAGATCTACAGAATATGGTCATCTTCAAACAGTTCAGAGATCTACAGATGTTTTAATAACCCAGGTTCTTCTTTTTCATGACAATGAAACTTATCTGCTCCTGGCTGCAGCAATCTACTTCAGAGAAGAAAATGGGCATTGAAGAAACTCCACATGGAGTTTACTTTCTTTGTGGCAAAAGTAAGTCACTGGGCAAGAAAATGTCCCTGCCTTGACTGCTGATAGTATGCTAATTAGACAAACAGGACACAAAATATTCTGCTTCACAGAAAAGTCTGTAGGATATGCTAGGCCTGTAGCCCAAAGATGGATGCCCCAATGTTACAGAGGAACTTTGGGTGACTGTTCAGGAATTA